GGAGGTTTAGAATCGGGGAATGGGACACACGAATTAAAACTTCTTAAATAGGTTGGGCTGTCTATAAGACTGTACATTAGGGGTGGGTAATTTCTCAATTCCTGCATGGAAACTTATTAGGGATTTTAGTCTTCTTTTTATACTGGGCAAGCAAAAAAACCTCCTTCAAATCCAGTTTTACCACCTCCCCCCCACCCCCTACTTTTTCACGCTTATTTCATGACCAGTCCCTAAGCGACGCAGATTCATTCACTTGGTTTTGTTTATACGTAGAAAGAGCGGATCCAGAAGTTTTAAAAGGGGATTGACTGTCACAGAGTCATCGTACCACAGGAAACCCATAAAAGCCGGGGAAATAATGAAAAAGTGATATCTCAAAATTGGCGGAAATTAGGTTTGAGAGTTTGAAGTAAACTGAACTGATGAAAGCCTTATCCGGATGAATGTTTTAATAACATAACAGTTATAATAACATATTTTTATTTGCGTAAGTTCCAAGATTCGCGTCTGTTTCCGTCACATAATTAGACCCACAATGCACCTTAATGCCAACTCGACCCATGTTTCCCCCTCAATTAAACTCGGAATGGCTAGCATAATTGTTATCATTGCTATTATCATTGTTACAATTCCTATACGTCCCTGACTCATAAGCCCCGTTTACACTGGCGATTTTGGCGGCGATTTTTACTGCAATTTTTATGGCAATTTTTGGAAATATGAAATTTTTTGTCTCATAGTCAAAACAGACATTCGTCTAGGAAAATCTTGGTATCCTGAAAAAAACTTTACAAGTAAATTCTTTACCATTATTCATTATGGACAAAATCGTAAAAACATCGCAGCAAAAATCGTCGCAAAAATCGCTAGTGTAAACGGGGCTATACATCACGTGCAATGCACTAGGATTTTTCTCTACCTGATTCCTGGAAGAGATGAGGGGGGAAAAACTTCATGTGAGGGAAAGGAAGACCTGACAGTAGTCAAATGTTAATGTAACAGCGAGTCTCAGAGTTTTCTCGATATTTGGATGAGAGCTGTGACAAACTAGCAGAGGGCTCGTTTCCCAATATATTGGGATAAATTCCATATGGCTTTCGTGCCAGCTCAGGAAATCAATTTATTGAACGACGATGTTTTGACACGAAAATATCACGTTAGGGCATGCTCATAGATTGTATGGAAACGTGCCAAAGTTGCTTTCGAGCTCTCTTCGCGTTAATTCAAAATATGTAAATTTAATGTCAAAACGTGCCTTAAAAATCGACTTATTGACAAATGCCAAAATCGTTTTCCGTAAATTGAGATCAATTCTTACTGAATAAAAACAAATATTTGTGCCCCAAAAATACCATGCACTTTTCAAGTCTAGAAGTTTTAATTAGCATTTCTAAAATCTTTCTTAGCAAAACTTTCAGTTTGTAAATACTTCGAAATGAATATGCGCACGCGCAATCGTTGATCTGTGTCATTCCAAGCCATGTTGATTATGCTACGCTTTGGAAAAAGACAGAATGATAATATGCAGATTACCACTCAGTACCTACGACAGTTATGATCATGCACTTCGATCAGCTTTAATCAAAGTCATTGTTAATTGATCAACCAATCAGCATTATTGGCAGCAGATTACGCATGACTGTGAAAAGTCATGATCGTTAAATCATTTTCAATATGCATATTACTGCTCATTCAATGAAATAATTCGAAAGGGCACCCTCGTTGTCTTGGAGATGCATCACGAATTTCCTACTTTCATTAAAATTTGTTTTGCTGACATTGCAGAGAGAAAAATTATAAGATGACAAGGAATGTAACTCGTACTCGTTGCCCAGCTGACGACCCAGATCACGCGCGGTCCAAACTCGTACTCTTAATGGTAGGCTTTCTCCGATCTGAAGTTCATATATCTTTTACGAGATCCCTGTGCGAGAGGTAGATATCCATTGTACCAATTAAAATCCGCTATCTTTGATTTTTCCTTCGCGCATGCGCAGTCGTTTGACCACGGTGTTGTCGTTATCACTAGCAAGAGAGAGTTTTATTCTCATTGGTCCTTGCTCCGATGCTCTGCTCACTCGGTTAGCTGGTGAGTTATGGTAATCGCATTATATATTTTTTCGCATGTAGTTTGTTTGAACTCGATTTCACATTTTAAAGTCTTTTTTTGTTTTATTTATTTATTTTCTTTTGATTTCCCCATACTATTTAATATTCATTTAATTATTAAATACTGTATTTATCAGAAATATCCGAATAGGAAAAGACACTGATGAATTATCAAAAGTAAATACTTTAGAGGAGTTCTGACTGTCAATCAAATAACATTTCAATCATCAGGCACCAGCAACAATATCCTAAGTATTAATATAAGTACTGTACTAAAATATAACTATTTTTTCATTTTATTTTTCCAAGTTTTATTCCCTACGAGCTCTCTAGTCAAACATTCGTGTGTTTTCGTAGAAAGATGTTTTTTTCCAATCGGAAGTGATCTGGAACGGTGATCCTAGACATTGAACGTCAAGTCTAAAATCACCGTTTTGTTTTTATTAGTTGATCTTATTGACGCAGACCGTCTCGGTGCTTGACAAGAGGAAACCCTGTGAGAAGCCAAACGCTCTGTCAATTTTTATTTACAATTCATTGACAATTATAACATTCCTCATGAAAAGATTCTTTTGTTGTCGCTATTTATGTGGATTATAACTGATCAAACTTTTGTCTTTATTACCTTGGGTTGTCGACATCAGAATCATTCTCAGCACGTTTAGAAAAAAATTCAGTGGAAAACTGGAGGTTCTATTTCGAGATCTCTCTTATCTCTACATGCAAGCCTATTGTGTAATTTAAGATGCGTTACACGAGTTAAAAGAATTTTAGAATCCGTGATGCTTTAAGGTGTGATTGATAGGGATGTGTCAAATACGTTGTCTTTAGGGTGAGCGAACAAACCGTGTTAATGGATTAAGGATTCGCGTTTACAAACAACATACACTACGAACAACCAAACAAAGTATCATGACTTGAATGAACTGCAAAAATACAGTCATGTTGGCTGTGGGTTCAATAGAAGTGCAGAAAAACTCGCAAACACGTCGTCAAAGCGAAGGACTCCTTTTGTCTCTGAATGGATATGGAGGATTCAAAGGTGAGTCCATCTACTATCACTGAAATTAACCTTTGGAAGTATACATCTATTCAATTCATTACATATTCTATGTCGTTTTAGCGAGAAATATAAAGTCAAAGCTCTCTAAATTTTTCATGTTTTGTCGTGCTTGATAAGCGAATTATTCTGTTCGCTGGTTTTGTAACTTCATTTCCTGTCTTGCTAATTGAGCAATTTAGGACAGTCGACGTAAAATCCTTGCTTTTCTGACTCTCTTTAACTACTGCAAGTATTTCTTTACAAATATTCCTTCATAAAACAACAGACATTCATTAAAACTTTACATAGATTAGTATTCATTGACCTCTAAATTAAATGTACGTATTTTGAAATAAAATAACTAGTCTCGTCATTACGAGCTCGACTGTAATGTCATAAGAGTCTCTTCCACGCAGTTTGTTTTGTTTTGTAATTCGTATTGTTTTTCTTGGGGGGTGAAGCAAATGAAATATCGTTTTAATTAGAGTTCAAAGTATATCGTCAACATGTTTTCAAGCTCGGTGCTTGAGTGGGGGAGTGATATTATGATTTGTTGTTCAACCAAGCGATTTATTATCAACTAATGCAAGCTTAATGGACTTTAAAAACATTGATTCTAAGATATATTCTTTTGTTATCTATTCTTTTTTGCGAAAATTAAAGAAGTTGCAACTATGATCTTTTATTTGGATGTGAGTGAATGTATTTTGATGAATAAATCAAAATTAAACAGACAGTAATATTATTCACATGACACGAAAAAATCAAAAGATAGGCAATTCTACAGCTAAGTTTAGGTCTCTAAGAAATTGAAAAAACTAATAATTGTAAGAATAAGTAAATACTATCGATAATATATAATTGAACTAGAAAATGATGGTAATGATGATGATGATGATGACAACGATGACAACGATGATGAAGATGAGTGATAATGATAATTATGATGATGATGATGATGGGGATAATGGTGATGATCTAAATGATGAAGCTGTTGATGATGATGATGAAATTTTGATGATGATGATAATGATGATGATTATGCTGATAATAATGATGATGCAATGGTGATGGTGATGATGGTGATGCATGATGGTGATGTTGATGATTTGATGATGATGATGATTTGATGATGATGATGATGATGGTAATGATGAT